TGTATCAAGTTATTGTGCATAACTTAATAAAATTCATATTGGAAATAACAACTCGTAACAAACAAACACAATGAAAAGCGCTACGAAAAAGTTGGAGGCATCACATAGGATGCATCACATAAGCGAATGCATAAATACTACAAGGCATAATAAGCAAACATCTTGTCGAAGAAACGAAGAAGTAAATCATACGACTCGTATTGAATCCGGTATTTGTATTTTGTTGAACGTATGCAGAATGGCTTCCTCGGCAAGTTCCATCATACGCTGACGTGTTGCCATTGTGGCGGAACCAATATGTGGTAGAACAACGCAGTTCGGTAGTGTTAGCAAAGGATGATTCGTGGGCATAGGCTCAGGATCGGTTACGTCGATTCCAGCGGCTCGAATTCGACCCTCTTTCAACGCCTCATACAAATCATCTTGGTTCACAAGGCCACCTCTGCAATTCAATTTAATATTAATTCATTCACTTACCAGTGAATGCTTCAGAAAATTTCCTTATTCAACCAATCTTACGCTACTCAGTTCAGTTATCAAACTACCAAAATTTTCATCCAGTAGTGGAGATGAAGTATGCATGAATTTAGCTAATAGTAAGTAAAAACGATTGCTAAATACAGTTTATTGCTCTACCTGCTTGTATTTATGAAAATGGCATTCTTCTTCATTTTCGATAATGTTTCTTTATTGATGAAATGTCGATTTGATGCATTCATCGAGCATGTCATTACGATGAAATCACTTTCGCTCAGCAGTTCATCCGCTTTCACATATTTTACGCCCAACTGTGAAGCTCCTTGAAAGCATCGACTGCAGATATTTGCAATGGTCTATGACAATTCATCTCTTGAGTTTGATCGTGAAGATATGTTGAATCAATTGAACAGAAGCAATAGTACATAAAAAGTTCAGTCAGGAGACAAGAAAATGAAACTGAATACATTTCATTTTCACCAATTACCATAGTTGTTGGAATACTATTTGCTCATTCAGTAATACGAATTATTTGTCATTAATGCTCTTGGCTCGATACAATTCTTATTCAAATCAGCACTTAAATATTCAATTGCGCATTGAGATGAATGTAGAAAGTCAGTTTTTAGTCAAGGTCAGCAGATTTCCAAGAATTTTCATTCAATTACCCATCTGAACTTTCGACTAATCCCTCACCCTCTCTCCTCACAAATTCAGCCGCATTCAAGACAAAGAAAGAAGCATATGAATAATTCGAAACAGTTTATTGTTTCTTTTTTTCACCAAAAATGTCCCATTTGAGTGTCATTTTCGCTCGCTCGTAAACGATATCAGCCGTGCTGAGAAGTACTGCTCGAGGTGAACGTTGATAACGCTCAAAGACAAAAAGAACAATCTCGTTGTGTAGACTGATAATTTAGTACGGAAGTAAAACAAATTGGCTGTTGAAGAAAAATAAACGAAAACAAAATTTTAAGCGAAGCTAAACGAATGAACGTTTTTCAATCGGTTGAATATCATTATAGACGATGCGATTCGGATGAAACGATTTCAACTTCTCAATAACCGAACAACCAATTCGTCCTAAGCCAATAACGCCAATCGTCGATTCATACAGTCCAACACCACACCTGGAGAAAATTTTTGGTGAACCACTCGTCTAAGTTCTGATATGAAATCTTAATCGATAGAAACATCACTTGATTCTCAAAGTAAATCCATCTGTTGTTGACATTTTCTTGAATTGGAACATATAATTCAATTAAATATGATGTTTTCAATAAATTTCTCCAAAATGCTCAGCATTTCATTATCTTCAGTTCTCAATGGTTACTCTTTCGAACAAAACTTTCACACTTCAAAATGCTGAGAGTCAATACGTCCATACTAAATGTACGAAGCAAAATAAGAAACAGCCCAGCGGTCAAGTAAGCACACAATCAAAAAATATGCCTCACATATAAAATGGCTCCCAGGTTCCCCATCGACCGTTCTTCACGTCGGCAACACCCTCACACAATCGACGTGCAGTTGCAAGCAATAATGCGACTGTCAATTCGGCAGTAGTTTCAGTCAACACATCAGGTGTATTCGTTACAACGATATTTCTGTAATTCAACTTCGATGATACACTGTGTGCATTAACATTCAAAGCAGCCTTCAAAAAAATGCGTTGCATTGATGAATATAATATAATCGTATCAATGCTATCATTAACTATGCTTTTTCCTATTAGATTTTCTTAACATACAAATAACTTCTCATTATTATTTGACTGTAATTATCTGAAAATGATTCGGTTGTATAATAATAAGCAAAATTTCATTCGAAGCGATGAAAGGGATTTCTTGGTGACGAATTCTTGACAAATAGTATCCTCTAAAGGAGTTTACCTCTTTTTACATTCATCAATATCGATATGATCGAAGCCAACCGACATTGTGGCGATAATTTTTAGATTCTTTGCTGCCTCCAACACCTCTTTATCAATCTTATCACGAACCTCAACATAACGAAAATGAAATACTCATCAGATCTGCTTGCGGTTACAGTGAACACCCTATTAAATTCCAACAAAGCATCCGATGCAATTCACAAACAAATTTCCGAGTTATGAAGCTCAATTTTCCGCTTGAACCGAAATCGGAACAGTTTCCGTCTAATGATTAATTGTTATTTGATGAATTTATTTGGAGATACATGATTCCATTGGTTGGAGAGAACAATTATTTAGTGATATTGAAGTACTCAAGAACATATTCCAGAGCTTCAATTGTCAACATTTTACGAGCACATGATGCATCAGAATAGTCGAAGAAAGCATTCATGAAGAAACGTTTAATCAGTTTATGAAACAAACCACCGAAAATATCAATTGAAACAAGTTTGAGTCAGCAACTACGCAACATTCATGTGTTCAAGAATGGTAACAACTGAATTAGACTTATGAAAAATGCAAAACAATGAAAAATAAACGAATAATAAGCAACCATGCAATACAGTGCGTCAACATTCGCTATTTGTTGCATGAGCAAATCTCGAGGCATTTTCCCATTGTGCATGTACTGAAACACTCGACTGCACTCGCACAGCCTCGATAGATTGACAGTAGAATCCGTGACGAGAACGGTTGGTGCATCCACTGATACTTTCTCAGCGGATACCATCGACACCGATGCTCCAGCAGATGTGGAGCGTAGGAATGCTGATTTGGCTTGACCCATTGACTTTCGGATGGAAACTGCAGACTGGACGACTGAAGTTTCGATCTTTGTTAAGCCACGAAGTTTTTTGGAACCGACCGAACGTGTGAAGCGACGATTCCCGAAGTATTTGTTCAAATAGGTGAGCAAAATGACATCTTAATAGGTGATTCTACTTTTTATGAATGAACACATACCAATTAACGCTTATTAGCATACGAAAAAGTACTGAATACGGGTTTTGAGTTCTGAATGCGATCTCTGCGTGTAATACTTTTGGTTGAAATTATCGGATGCTTCTTGGTAAACAGAACTCATCTGGTGCCTTGCACATAAAACGGTTATAATATTGTTTTTTGCATCACCCTGATGCCCATATCTATCATAAAATAATTACTACTACTATTGGCCTTCTAAAACGTCTTCAAAGAAATAACTAAATATTGCTATAGGTAGGGAAGGGAAAGTGGGCGATTACATTGCACTTTTAGTTCTAACAGTGCGATTGGCTGAAAAAGGCTGAAAAACCATAGATGAATCATAATAACTAATATAGATTCTTTCAGCTGTCAATAGTCGATACACTACACGATATATCAATGGTACATCTCAAATAACGAGTAACTTCTAATCCTATGAACGTAAAACTAAATGTATCTACTATAAACAACCGATCTGCACGAAGAACAAAAGCAAAAATAAATATGAACTGGCGAAATGGTGAAGATTATTTTACATGATGTATTTCATACAGGATTTCGTTCTCTTGTGTATTGAACTGAATAAATAATCATTTGCACGGTGACATTTATATGCATGCAAATATTCGAAGAATCCATCAAACAAACTCTTCATTTATGAAGTTAATTTTATTACTCATTATCAGCTACAAGTAATAATGATTAAAACGCAAGAATTGACAACTGAAACGCTTTATGCTTTCTGCAACTTTTATATGATTTCTCCCTGAAACCAAAACGTACTTCAATTCTTAATGGAACGGGACTCTTTTTTTGGATTCCTAAAAGTAAAAAATCTATAGGTTCAGAAACCTTAAAAAAACAGAGAATCCATTTTTAGTTTTCTGAAAATAGAAAATCTGAAGAATCCAATGTAGAGGAAAAAAGACATGTTGCTGGGCAAATCTGAAAGTA